TTAGGGATTGTCTTCTAATTTCTGATCTAAAGAAACTTTAATGGCTAATCAATACCTGGTTGTTGTTGAACCAGTAATTTTCATCAGGTTGAACAGCTGTCTGTCTTTTCCTTGTGTTTTTTCCTGTGTTACTTTTTCAAAGAGTAATCGTTTCCCTGCCAACTTCCACTATATTAATCTTTTTCTTTTCTTTTCGCCTCCATTCATAGGGCTTTCCTGTTTTCCAGGTAGTATTATCGGTCCTTCTAGGCGTATGTGCTGTTCGTGTTTTACCATTTCCTCTGGGAAATTTCCCTAGGAAATGCTACAGTTGTGTTCGTTGCTTTCTCCCAGCAGGATCCCATGGGCGTGTCTGATGTTCTCTAATCGGTTAGTGTACCTGAGTCCCTGGACATAGCTCTCTCCTAGGCGTGCGCTCCCAGTCTGTGTGAAGCAGAAATTCTGCAGAGTTCCCAGTATGCGTAACTTCCCCAATTTCATCCTGTTGTATTTCATTCTGTGTCTGTTACCTCAGTTCTTCATGTGATCCAAATCTACCTCCATAAAAATAACACTCAGCTGAATTGACAATTTGTGTTTGTCAGCAAGGTTTATCAAAGTTTTACTTTTTGTGCTTAGTTTGTTAATGAAAAGGGCAAGTATTCCTGAAGCAGGCTGATTTGAGAATCAAGGTCCTTGAATGTCATTTGAACTACACAAGTAATCTCTGTGCTTGAAACTACTTGTCATCTGCCCTGTTGTGAATTTTTTACTGTTCTTACAATCCCCCTTCATCCAAATTAATATTTTTCTTTTTGGCACCTTATCATACTCTTTAAGCTCTAATAGAAAAGTTGTTGTTGCATAGTGGCTTAGACTGACAGTCCAGTTTGTCTCTGGCATCTGTTCCACCTCAAAGTTGTGTTCAAAACGGTACATGGGGTTGAACTAATATGCTTAAGGTTACCCAAGTCACTTTTTGCACCCATTACACATAGGAAAAGCATTTAATGTTTTTAGGTTTTCCTTTGGCAAATACATTTACTTGTTATTGTATGTACTGCTGCAAACGTTTTGAAACATCTTGTCTGTTGAAATGGATTTAATGTTCTAATTCTTCTGAAGTCTGAGATCGACAGGGGTTTTTTTCCATGTGTTCCCCTTTTACAATAATACTATCTTTGTTATCTTCAGCACTATCGTTCTTTATTGAAATTTGGGACAGTGCAGCTCATTTGGTTTGGGGGTCATGCTGTTAAAAATATTACGGAGCCACATCTAAAGAACAGTTACCATTGAACTCTCTGCTTGCAGAATCATTTTAGACCATATGACAAATCTTGCACGCTTTGACTTCATATATTCAGAGTTGTACAGAGTGTAGGGCTTGACTGCCATGATAGTGCCACGAATTCACAGCTGAGTTCCAGTTCAGGAAAAACATCCCACACAGTTTTAATAACAAAGGCATTTTCTGCAATGAACTATTTTTAGGAGGGCTAATAAATTACACTGTAGACAAATTGGGTGTTACGATTGATGAATAAATTACTTTTTAATGGATTATATTTGAACGCTTCTTCATGGCTACGATAAGGGAAAAAAAAAGAGAGATTGAGGACTTTGAAATCAACTGATTGGCTTATGGGTTTGAATTCCTTCAGCATCACGCTGTTGGCAGAGTAGCATTCCAGGTGTTAATTGGTGCTGTAACACCTGAAGTAGTCATTTAGTTGTGTCATTCTACACTGTTAATATCAGTCAGGTTTTGGAGAAATGCCAGCTGTTGCTCGGTTTAGGTAGTGTGCCTTAGCTGGGCTGCCAGCCTTCCTCTTTAACGGGAATCCAGATACGGCTCAGAAGAACTGTCCCTGCGGCCTCTTCAGTTCTGTCCAATGTCTCTTTTTGTTGTGGTGGTTTGTTTTGGTTTTAGTAAAGATACACAAAGGTCGTAACAACGTCGTTTTGGGGTGTGGCATTTGTTAGAAGCACTAGAACAACCTTTAAAACCGGGGGTTTTTAAGCTGTTAAACTACATAGCTATGTTGGAGTGGCAGGTGATTTCAAGAATGAAATGTTTTTGGAAGGTTTTTGTTCCTGTAGCAGAGCAACATAGGCTAACAGAGAACTAATTGTCTTTGTTTAGCTCAGCAGCTTACATAAGAAAAAGGAAGAAGAGTTCAAAGAATGGGTGAAAAATGCCTGAAATGTCTTCCAATCGCTGCGGCAGGAAAGCTGCTGAATTTTACTGTGGTGGCTGAAAAAACTGCTTCAACCCATACACATCAAGGTTTTGACACAGCTTCATTGCTGCTGTAGTGTGGGTGGAAGAACACGACCTGTGTCCACGCTGCGGCTCGCGTAGTTCACACTGGGACGTTGTACTGTGCATCGCTAGTTTTTCATCAGTGGCATGAGCTCGCCCGCCGGACGCTGGCGCGTTGGCGTCGGCGCCGGGCCTGGAGCCAGGC